AAATAAATACCCTTCTTTATGAACAGTACAATTAAGTAAGAGCAAACAACTTGTGCACAGAGGGACTGCAGACAATTTAATTCAATGTCAACTAAACTTACAGGGGGTAAAGATGTATACAAATGCTTAATGAAACGCAAATACAAGAGCTTACATCTTTAGTCGGTGTTTTGGAGTTGACATAAAAATGTTCATCTTTTATAACAGATTCATTTCACGCTAAGACAATATAACGCTATACGTCAACGGAGGGTAGAATTTAAAGTGACTATGAACTTCTTTTGTGGCTAACGGAAGAGAATAAAATTTAACGAAATAGTTTTTAAGGGGTATTTCTGGGCAAACCCCCTAATGCTGCTATGCCCTTAAAATAAGCATTGCTCCTTATATCCGTTAGTATGATTCAGCCGAAGTAAGTTTTAAGGCATTTTCATGTCTTGCAACGCTTGTGTGAAACATTCATTAATTTCTTTAGGTTAGCTAAATTAAATGTACCACGCGAATAGAAGAATCGGCTATTTGTCTTTGTTTGGGCGACAAAGTCGACGTTATGAAGGATTCGCAGGTCTGCTAAACCCGCCGGCATCGTCCGAGAATTCTGTAGCGGGAAACTGAATAACTAATCGTGAGAAAGAAATTATAATAAGCTTACAACTGAACACATTCTTGAACCGGCACCAATAAATTAACACGATTATGTCTTCTGAATTAAAAGACGCTGAAACAGGCACAGGCGGCCTCGCTGTTTAGTTTTCACAAGTTCTCCGAATGCTGCGGGTATTTATTGCCACTTCTCGACGTTGTATTTTATGGATTTACATGAGTTGTTTTCTTTATAATATATTTACAACTTAAATTTTGGAACGAATTATTTAAGGTTAGAACTTAATCCACAGTTAAAATTAGACAGCTGAAACGATCTGAAATCTATAACAGTACTCGACAGATACTCAATTCGTTATATCTGTATATTGTTGTTTAAATGTGCATCAAGTCATAATTTCTAGAGCAACTGGAGTTCCCACAGTCATATAAAAAAATAAAGATAGACTCTCTCTTAATTCTCGTAATTCTGTGGATAAACAACACAAATTGTCTAAGGCGCAAAACAAAAAATTACACAATAACAAGAATTATTGGATATATGCACGACATTGTTTAGCTAATCATTTATACTAAAAATGCTATCATATAAGTATAATATCGTGAATAATTATTGTACGTCAGATTTGTTCATGCTGGTAGTATATTTAAAAATAAAATGAGGGAACTGATTTTCGTGACAGAAAGTTCTTTTCAGGGTAATCATTCTCACAATCCTATTTTCAAAACGCAATAAAAAGTTGTCTCTGAGTTAAATATGACTATAGTTCGGCCGCTTAGAAAGCGACCTCCTCCAGCATTGGTTTAGCATTAGAGCGCAGGTCGTTTTCTAAGCGGCCGAACTATAATATACTATCAATATAAAATATTAAATTTCCCAAAACAAAATCTCCCAGTTTTGGTAGATTCATTACGAACTGTTTACAACAATGTAGATGAGATTGTCTAAAATTACAAGATGTAGCGGCATTAAAACGATGGGGGGGGGGAGGTGATGAGAACGGAACAGCAAGGGTGAGAAACTCCCAGGAGGCCATTGTGTCGACGGCTGTTGCCCTCAGCGGCACCTCCCCCCCCCAACCAACACAGACGTTCACTTTTCCCATTTCATATTAGCTTTTGATAACAAAACAAGAAATACTACTTGTTGGTATTAATTTCACAAACTAATTTCATGGGATCATTTTGTATCTTAAAATATTTATTGCGTAGGTAGATAAACTAGATAAACATTATGACCACAAATTCTATTTAACAATCTCCAGATGACAGTTTAACCAACTCATTTCCGGTCACTGGTAATTAGGTAAGGATCCAGATAATGTCATTGAATAGTGGTAATAAGTTATCACAAGGAAATAAGGGACTTTTCAGAATTTGTGGATGAGTGTTTCGAGGGTTTCATTCATAATAATCTGTTCCGTTCTCGATTATTATACTCCGTTCAAACAGCCGTGGCACCTGACGGATTAGGAGACCCCACGGAAGCCCTCGGGGCCTACTAATAAAAAAAAAAAAAAAAAAAAAAAAAAATGGTGTATACCATTTTTATGTTTTTTAATGTTCGGTTCGGCCCTGTTTTATTTGTGTTTTTGACGAGTTGCAAGCTTTGAAATGTTGTATTTGCAACAAAACATGTAAGATGATGAGCAATATTAATCTTTGGGCTGTTTGACAGAGGTATGTAAAACCTATTATTGTCTTAATTAAATTGAAACCATCAAGTTACTATAGGCATCCCAGAAAGAAACAAAACGACCCTGGGCCTTTTTGCGCCGCGGGGCGCGAACCACTTGATCTTTTCGTTTTTGCGCAGGTTGTTTTTTTCTTGGGATGTTTATGGTACGGTACACTACAACACCTACTGTGCATTTCTTTAAATCAACAGCTGAAAACTGGAGTTGCAAATAGGGTGCAAGATTTAAAGAGAAAACCAACATTTTTACATAGATGTGTGTACTATAGCAAACAACCTATGTTTTAACCTAAAAATGATGTACAGCATAAATATTTTTATAAACAGACAGGAAACCTATATCAATGAGTTAGTCAAAGTTATTTTGCTATGCATGAAACAGTGGTGCTTTCATTGCCATTTTGTTCAAATCCACAATTAATTTACTAAACACTTTTATTTTATCAAGGAAAACCCCCCAAAAAAAATCATATAATATACAATTCACAAATAGCTGTATTTTGTTCAATTAAGCAGGCACTTCCAAACCTGTAAAGACTAAACGTTTATGATGTATGTGGTTTACAAATGCTGATAATTTTCAACATTGTATATTGTCATAAACTCAAAGCCTTCTAAGTTATTCAGAGTTCAATCAATATCCTAAGAATATGTTCTTATGCTCTTTAGAAAGTCTTAAGAAAAATTGCCTATCCATTCATGAAACAGAACAGTACTGGCATAAAACATTTTAAATTGCCTACTTATTAGTAATTGTAGTCCCTACCCAAAGTAGTTTCAAGGGCTTAAATATATCAAATGCTTTGGATGCATTTTCTCTTACACTTGATCACACATTAATTCCAAAATAATGGTTTCTTAAACAATCTCAAAACCACGAAAAAGATAATTAATTTTTATCCCACTAGTACAGATTACTGGTGCACTCAAGGCCTAGAACTATACTCTGTTAACCCGCGATAGGTCACACAGCTGTCTAAATGACCGAGTTTATACTTTTTGGCGTAAAAATTATATTTATTGGTGGTCGGTATTGTCAGCCGTTACTGTGCATAACACACCACATTCCAGGAATACTGTGACCTATTTTTCACCATCCTTCGCCTCCTCATTTTAGTCTAGTGACAGCTTTTTGTCATGTACTGGTCAATTCCACCGTGTGCTTCTCCTCGTGTTTCGGAATTACCGGTGAATAAGACAGTGTGCGTCTCCTCGTGGTTTCTAATTAATGCTTATTTTTCTTATGATTTTTGATTGGCTACTGTTTTAACTCATTAAATTACCATTACACTATGTATTACCATTAAATTATGTGCTGGGCAATGGAGTATTTATATATGTCTCAAATTAAATGGAATCTAGCAAGTAAAGAATGAGACTGATAGTCCACTGTCAAGTTGAGAGAGATGAGGATATTGAATGTTCAGTGACGCTTATATGATATTTTCTAAGGCTTTTCAATGAAACATTGATGAGAGACACGACAATATTAATAATGAAGACGAAACTAAAAAAAATCAAAGGAATTTTATCTTTACACGACAATAATGACTTCTAATTATTTATAAATTAACTTTTTTGTGAGCTTTTTTTTCATGCAGTAGTATACAATACAGATTGCTTTAAGTCAAGTTAAATCATTCTTTATTCAAATATTTTTTAATGTGCCTCTCACTAAATATTTGCTTTGTATGTATTTGTCATTTCTAGATAGATAAAAACACTTTTAAGGTATTATTGAGTTTTATATGAAACAGTTTACACAAAACAAACAATGCAAAGTGTACGATTTTATTACATCTGTCCATTTTATATTTGATCATCTAAAGCATATATTCAGAAGGTTGTAAATTTGTTTTACACAATTTTTACGATTTTGAGCAATTAAAACTTAATGCTTGCTGAAATATGGGGTTTTGTCATCTTCTCACGTTTTCAATTCAGTGCAACCTCTGCCTAACAAAATTCAGGCAGTTTTAGGGGAAGAAATCTATCCCCTCCACGTCTTGATCCTACCATTAAAACAAGAGCTCAACAGATAAGGTTTGTCAAAATGGCAATTAGCTGCAACACATAAATTAAGCAAACAAATTAGTGGGAGAATTTAAGCCTAAATTTGGTGTATACATACTATAGTCGCTTCTCCTAACCCAACTCGCACTCTTTTTCCCCCTCACCATCACATATTAACACTCATGCTGAAAGAAGACCCTGTGCCCTGTTCAAAATGAACTTCCAACGAGTCCTTTGCTCGCCCTCTTCCTTGTATGTTAAGCACGGGTCATACTAGGCTGGCATCAGCCGCGAATTTAAAGAAGCCGCGACTGTCAGCTTAATGTGACCACAAAATTCGCAGCTGACACTGAGCTGACTCAGCCTGGATTGGTAGGCCGGTGATGCTGGTGCCAGCTGCTGATCACCAGCGGCTGGCGAACAGCCTAGTGTGACCCGTGCTTTACAAGTACATTGCCCTAGCGAGTATCTATGCAGGCGCACAACAAACTAAAGCTGAAAGCGCAAGGTTGTCCTGTAATCAAGTTTCCTCTGTAGCTTTTTTCTCAGGGGTTCTGTGAAATAGGAGCCTGTGCACCGTTTATAGACTGCGGTCCGCCAGTTGGAGAACACTGATAAACGTCTTCACCTATCCTCAAAATCACAAAAACTACTGTCAACAATGAAAGTAGTAAGCAATGTCACTTACGTAAATGTAGCTACGACGTTAGTAGTTGGCCAGCCCAGGACGAAGCTTGTGTCAGCTGACTTGTTGAGCTCCGTAACCTCGTCCAGCGAGCTGCGACTCATCCACAACTCGGACACTCGCACCTTCTCCTTCAGCTTGAAGTTTCCCCCGGCCCGAGCCTTGGCGACAAGCAGCAAGTCGTTGAAGAGGAACAGATGACGCTCCTGACTTTGCACTCCCTACAAAACAAGTCTGATGTAGCAGAAATTGTGATTGTTGGAGAGGAAGTTATATACCGGTAGTGATCTTAAATATAGACATCTTGATGCAGCAATAAACATGTCTTTATCCCATTTTAAAAAGTTCCGTGTCTCTATGAATTCTTCTCATACAGCCCTCAAGTATTCAAAAATCTTCCTCTATAGAGGAACATTCTTCCCAGCTTAATGGTGGAAACCTCTTGAAAAATCTGATGTCTTTAAACCTTAACTATAACTCAAAATGGTCCAACCTTTTATAAAACCCTTAATTATTCTCTTATTGGAATATTTTCAATGCTATTTTATCAAAGAAAATTTCACCCCTTTTATAAAATTTAACTATATTTTCCCAGGGCCGGAAATAATAATTTTGGTGATGTAGAAAGGGTGAATTCTTTAGAATGTCACTAGGAAGTGAAAATGCAGAGAACCCCAAACAAAACAAAGTGACCACTAGAAAAAACCCCTGATAGAGTGTGTACTCTTTTTGGGATATGTACAGCAGATTTTACTAATAGTGTAAGATTTCATACAACAAACATTTTACGTACCGCTACAAATTGGACGGGAGCCTCCATTATGAAGGTCCGTTTCTCTGCGGGGGCGAGAGGTCGAGGGGCGGGCGGGGGTGACTCTGGCCGCAGAGACTTGGCGGACAACGCCCTCTGTAGCCGAGCCGCCGTGCTCGACCTCTTACGCATCAGGCCTTTCATCTTCTGCAATACAAAATAACCACAAACTATCAACTAAAATAATCAAAATAGGGTATTGCGACTAAAAAACAAGATATTGCTGTGGACTTGGTGTTAACAAAATAAATTCTTCACAAAAAGGATTTCGGATATTTTTTTTTAAGTTTCACAACTAGTTCTAAAGTGGTAGGCCTACTCCTAATAAATAGGATTCTTTCAGTTATTTTATTGGTGATAATTAGAGAACCAAAGCAAATTTGTGTGATGATTCAATAGTCATTCATGCTGTAAGTTTTGGTTGTGATCACCTCTACATAGGCTATAGAGCAATAAATGTTGTGTATACAAGAGAGTATTAATTGAAATACTGCACAGATAAATCATGCCAGATGGAAAATAAGAGTAATGATGGAGTACAAAGACTGGTCACACAAACCAAGGCAAGTTTAACTTAAAAAACAAGAGATTTCGCCCTAATAGAAGATAGAAGATACTACCATGTTATACAGCAACAACACCTGTATTTCTCAAGTGACAGTGATTTATTCTAACCAAAACCAAGCGTTAATCTCATAGAAAAATAAACAAGTGCGAGTCTAATCCTGAAATATTATCACGATATATTCAACGAGCCTATAAGATCTCTGATATATTGGCAGGGGACAAACAACAAAAAATAAAAACAAGATGTAATATAATGGTTGGAATTTGGCCAAAGGAGGCTTGCCAACATAACTAATGCCAGGACAACCAACCAGACGAGGTGTTCCAAGGTTAGCCTACAGGTGATGTCATGGCTGTTGAGACGGAGAATATGTGAGAAGACTAAGAACTGATGGAAAGAATGTGATCGTGATCATCCTAACATAAGTAAAAACTAAAAAGTGAACTCAACGAACAACTGAAATTGAGAAAATATGGTGATAGTCTTCATCCTAACCCGGTTAAAAACTGAACTAGATTAAAAATTCATAACAGAGAATACCATTATGTTCATATTCTAAAAATCAAATGGACCAACAACTGATTAATAGAGGTATAATCAATATGTTCATCCTTTAAAATCTGAACTTACTGTCCCAATGAGCTAGATATTATGTCTGGAGGTTGTTAGTTTGAAGTTTGAATACTCCAAGCAGCATGTTGAGGTGGTAGTGTAAGCTATTCCCAGTACACTACAAAATTCTCTTAAAAACTACCTCCAGTCCTCCAAATATTCATTAAAGCTCAGTGGTTCACCCCAACTTTAGTACAAATTAAACTTGCAAAAACCTTTAACTAAAAGATAAACTAATAACAACTGAACTGAACTAATAGCTTATAACAGAGTCACTGTGACAATCGTATTCTGTGTAAAAACCTGACTGAGTAATCAGTGTTCTCGTCTTGTGTCATGAACTTCAAGATTAAGCTTAATACAGTACCTATTAGTTTATCAGTGGTGTCTACTATTGTTTGAATAATAACTTTTGACTGTTGATATAACTAGACATTCCATCCTATGTTAAAGTTGACGCCAGTTTTTAAACAAAATGTACTTAGTTAAGTGAGCCACCCACAGATTGCGCTGATATACACGAATGATTTCTGTAAAATATGCAAACTTTTAAACCAAGTCAAACTGTTAGACTGACTTATCATCGTCAGCTATAACAACTGGTGTGACCAATCAAATATCTCAGCAACAATTAAAAGTAAAAATAAATCATTTTAGACACATCTTCAGTGATTGCCTCACACAGCTATGTTCTTTAAATAAATTGGCGACAGCTGGTCCATATAGATGGGATGTCTACATCAGTATTCAAAAGTTAATGCTGATACTGACCATGGTTACAACATCCTTGTCATACAGTCGCAGACAATCGTTGGGGAACAGATCTTGTATCCTCTCGAGATCACTCTCCTCCTGGCCTCGCTTCACCGCCTGAGGACAAAAACAAAAATAGAAGCATATGATTCTTGACTATGGTACCGAACATAAGTGTAATAAATTGTGAAATCACTTCAAATCAATTAAGTTATTGTCTGTAAAACATGTACATGGATAGACAAAGTCAATTAGAATAAAATAAACACAATCCAGTTTTTTTTCACAATATCCAAAGGCCTTCACTCAATAAGTTATCTGATAAGTTATTATATTCAATATTTATTAAATTGTTCCAAATTATCATGCTTATTGTTACACCAAATGCAACTATTGAATGTTTTGCCCATCATATCAAGGAAGGGAAATATTTTGAGAAAACTCCTTGAAAATATACATATTCTGACCACAGGATGCAAGTGTACTAGGTTTATAAATTCACCAACCGACAAAATTTAAGAGCAACATTCCGCAATAGTGTTGCCAGGGTGCTGGTGCTTGGTGCTCAGTGCAAATTTTTTTACTATACCTCAAATTATTTAAATCCTAGGATGTAGCAGTAGTATTAACATTACTAGTTCGAAAAATTTATGTTTACTGAACCAGCATTATTGTTTCCGCACAAGAAGAAGTCAAGTGCAGAATCACAATCACCAGACAAGTATGGTAAATACACTTTAGACAAATGGTGTGTGATATTTTTTGCCATACTACCATAAACTGAAATAACATTTTTTTGCTAAGTTGTGCTGAGATGAAGTATGACATACCTGTTTGGCCCTGTTGCTGGCATGTTGAAGGTGGTCATGATCTGCATGGTCAGGATCAGTCTCTCGCTGTACGGACTCAAAGTACTGCACATACTCTGCCAGTCTCTGAATCTGCAACAAACAGGCACCTCACATTAGCACAATATACACCAGGATCTGCTAATGTCATGTTAACATCATAATGGATAGTGAAAGAAAACATATCTGCAAAGTTATAAAATTCAATAACCTCCACCAAAGACATCCCATCTATATGGATTAGCTGTCACCAATTTTTTACAAAAAAAATGTAGTTTTGTGAGCCAGTCACAGATTGCCCTAGTGTCTAAAACTCTATTCTGTACCTTATTTTTCGTTACTGACATAGTTGCTGGGTCACAACAGTTGCTATAGCTCATAATAAGTCATTCCATAAGTTTGACTTGGTAAAATCCATCATGTATTCGGCAGAAATCAGTAATTTAGATCAGCGCAATCTGTAGGTGGCTCACATCAACTAAGACAAATTTTATTAAAAAACTGGCTACAACTTTAACATGGGGATGGAATGTCTACCTCCACTTTCTATGTCATAATGTAAAATCGTTCAGACTTGATCATAAAGATAATAAATCTCTCCATCGCAATCAAGGTTAAAACCAAACATATGCATCTACAGTATTTACTCGTTAGATCTTAGTTTCCGGGAGATGAATGCATCATTGAAGAACGACGCGTTATCTGTTGAAATACACCTAGTATGGGCACGGTACAATATTAATTGCTTAAAGGCTTCCAAAACATCACTCAGTTTGTTCACCAATTTCAACAGTAATCTACCAAGGACCAAAATACGACGGTATAACGACCATAGGTATAATACCATTCATCGGATCTATTTATTTGTTCCAATAACTACGTCATCAGTACTGTGAAGAGGTTAGCCTAGATCGGCGTTGTCGCGCCATCAGTCAGCGCGGCCGTTGATGTCACCGGCTACATGCGAGATCTAGCAGGATCTGGCCTGAAAGTGATTTCTTAATTAAGCGTTCTCAGTTGCAAGGGAGGGGATAAGGAATGCAGGACCCGGGGCGGTATCAGGCCTGCTCTACACTCATCGCTGCACACCGCGCATGCGGGCCGAAATTGGCAAACCTCTTGGTAAAACTGAACGCGAAATGCGAAAATGTAATCATAGGGTTGCAGATTCAGATTTACTTTACAATGGGTAGATGAAAAGTTACTTTCAGGAGCAATTTTTTTTGGCTTGGTCAGGCAGAGCAATTTTTTTGTAACACTGAACGCGAAATGCAAAATTGTACCCATTTTCCTGTTATAGGGTTGACGAGTCGGACTTAAATTTGATATGGGTAGATAACCATCATATTTAGGCAACACCTTCCTTTGACTTGGCTATCGCTTTCCAGAGTCATTACATAAAAAACATAGTACATAAGTATAACTCATTATGGATAATTAATCATGTATGTAGCTTTCGTAGAGAGTCTCGAAGAGCACTCAAGATGTAAAACATTAGCTTTAGAACCATTTTAACTTGTTACAATTGTTGCATATAGTATTTACAATCAACTATAACAGTTGCCAGATTGGTTCTAAACCCAAAAATAAATAGTGCTTTCGAAGCTACAATGTGCTAAATGTGTCGTGGTGACACAGAAACACTCGATGCTCTGATATTTATTTGACAACCTTGTTCTAACTATCAGTATAAGGCTAGGATATCAATGTTTCCTAAGTGTGCTATCTAAGAAAAGGTTGACATAACGTAATGCCAAAGCACAAAAGATAAATAAACCACAGATAGATAAACAAGTTCAGGCAATTGGTCATTAAACTGTCCAAGAACTTTGTTAGAGTTTATTTATTTCATATTTTTTATTCCACCCATCTTATATTGGGCTTCTCAATAAATCATTGATACATATGAATAAAACTATCATCCCGTTTATTCAAAATTCGACTTTGCATCAAAACAGGCTTCAACGTTGACATCGCCGTAAAGGAATGCTTAAAAACCTTAAAATATCCTATGCGTAAAACTCAAGAGTGGGAATTGAAAAACTTTGACTACGAAAACTTTCGACACATAAAAACCTAGTGACTAAGCTAAACCAGTACAACACTGCAAAGTTACTGGACACTGTATATAGTTTAGTCATGTTTATCACTTCCACTGTTAGCGTTAACAATCGGAAAGCACACATGGTGGAGAGGAGGGGGAAGTTTGATGTTATCAGAAGGAATGTTGCGTTTATGCAACTCAGTTGCAGTTGCACACATCTGCGGGCGCGGCTTGACCGCTTGACTACCACAGGCAGGCCAAACAATGCACCATGTAGCTGCGTAGCCAACTGAATACATTACAGAATACCGTAGATTAAATTGTAGTTTTTGTTTGGATTACAAATTAATGTTTATTGCAAGTATGATAGGAAAAATGGCATTTACGTGGTTTATATCCATATAAAGGAGGATGGCCGTGTAGCGACACAGTAGTGAATGCAAATAACATTCAAAACCACTTGATTAGGCGAAGAGACGAAGATAACAATCGACTTACGAATCCCTGCGCATTGGTTGCCGTTAATGGCCCAATAACAGCTCGGTCCGCGGTGGTTGGTGGTATATTGGTATGTACCTACTATGATGCCGAAGTGATTGAAAAGTATCACGAGCGCACCGGAATTGCGCATTAAAATCTATTGTGCACTTTGTAGAGTGGCCACCCCTCAACTCACTGTAATCATGCAACCCCAATATTCTTAATGGCGATCAGTAATGACAAAGCAATAGTGAATCAAATTGTCGTCTACAGACTGCTAAGATTTGTAGCTGAAAAACAGGACTAATGTTATCAAACATAAAATATAACCAATCATAGAGTAAACAAATTTGAGAATTTAAATTGGTCCACTTTCAGAGCGTGATGAACTTATTGGAGTTGTGCATGACTTTGGTCTTTTTCAGCCGAGAGTCTCTTCAATTCAATCGATCAATTATTTAAGATAGGACGTCTCTATTTTCGTATTTTAACCCAAATATGAGTGAAGGATAAGAGAAGGATGAGTTCAGTTGCTGATAGAGGTGCGCGCACCGAAACCAGGCTTGAAAATTAAGCTAGACGCCGAAACTGGGCTTGAACATTTAGGTAGACACCGACACTCGGCTTGAACATTCATGTAGACACCGAAAATGGGCATGAATATTTAGGTACCCGCCTAAACTGGGCTTGAACATTCAGGTGGACACCGAAGCTGGGCTCGACCTTGGATGAGCACGTGACAGGTGTGGATGGTGTAGTGAGGACTGAGGAGGTCCGACCGGCCACGCCTCGCTCCTCGTGTTCGCTATTTATGCTGGGAGCCGGGACCAAGGAATGCAGATGACCAGAGGTAACGGTTTCGCCGCTACCGACACTAACTCGCCAATTACCGGCATAGCCTACACTCGGCTACACTATATATACACCACACACCAGCTGTCCACACTAGAAATGCAACATTATATAGGTACATATTAACCTCACCTTCACCTTCAGCTATTGTTGAAACATCTACCTGCCGAATTGACCCTGCAAAGAGTTGTTTATTGCTTAGCAAAATATGTGTACTGAATGCTAAAGAGGAAAACCTACTAGAAATGAGGAACTATAGTCCGTGGTCTAGAACACACTCGGTATGCTCATTGGGTACTGGAACACCCCACATCGCACTTCAATGTACGTATATATTGAAAAATTTCCCCACACACATACTGTTAGCTACAAAACATATATAATTTTATCTACACTTCACTATTCGACATTTTAACACATTTTAATATTGTTTGTCATTACTAATTGGAACTAAACTTTTATAAAGACAAATCCACTAAACATAGACATTTTTGTATGAAACCCCGAAGTATCCAGTAAAGAACGCGAAGACGTGTGAAAGGAACGGTCTAAACTCACCGATTTACTGAACCAATTGGGTATCGCAGCGACGTTGCTCCCCATGTATGACCAGGTACGCTGTGTATAACATACATCACTACACCACACACACTACACTGCGGGTCATACTGCTTTGTCGCTATTATCAGATGTTAAACACCTGTTCAGAGACAAACAATCGAGCTATGCCAGCTGTTATAATGTGTTATGAGCTTTTGTGAACAATGTAGAACAGTAGATCACATAAACCTCAGACCTAGTGATGTGGTATGACGATTTGAGAAAGTTTGCTGCTATATTGTTCACTTGAATTGATAACTGGGTAAGTTTTCCTTCAAATACGATATGTTTGACACATTTCCTTTGATTGATTTCATTTGCTGTAGCTTATTATAGCATTCTTTTCAATAACTCGTCATATTGATAGCAAATATACACTAAAACAATCGTAATAGACGAAGCGATTGAATCTCTAACAAAACAGCTGCTTATTTGCATTATTAAAATTGAAAACAAGTTGGAAGCAGTAATGACAGGCTATCTTTACATGAAAAGTTTTGTCTTTTTATAACTTAGTTTGCTTATGGTACAATATGGCGAAAAATATAGTTAATCTCATGGGCAAAATGTGTCATTTCAACCCTTGCTTATTTTCCGACCTCGGCTTCGCCTCGATCGAACTCGAGTCGAAAAGAGCCATTTTACGCCCTAGTGATGAAATATACTATTTCACAAGTGAAAAGTTTCTATTTTATTCTGCGAAACAAAGACTGCTTTATGATATCGAATTTCCTCAATACTACGAGTCTTTGTTGGACAATTTACGAAAGAAAATGTTTTAGGGTTTTAGATCGTTCAAGTTTAATGCATATTTGGAAAATAAGAGCAACATTTGGATTCGCAACACATTGATTCTTGTATTTACATTTAAAAAACCAAGTGAAAATCTTAACCAACACCAAGCACAATACAACCCCAAAACAAAATATATTTCCATAACCATTTACGTGTATATTCCCCGGAAATGTCAAGTTATGCATTGCCGTACCCCAGCAGTATCATTGTTCATTCAGGAAACGAGATAATCAAGAAACAGCCAGAGTCGAGGAGATAATCTGCATAGATTACGTTACAAGAAACCTGCCGCTTATTGCATGGTTGAGTGACAGCGAGTAAT